GTGGAGTCTTTTTCAGCGGTTGTGTTTCAGGGCAACGAAATAAAGCGAAGCTCGTTTGTGTTTTTCCCAGGCTTTTCTTCCCGCATCTACTACAACTCATGGCTGCAGCTGAGTGGCAACCTCTGCCGTGAATCCCCATCGGAAGCGTTTGCTTTTCTTTATCCCAAAGTGAATCTCCGCGATTCCACGGTTTCTTTGTCTGGCAACCGATTCATGTCCAGCAGGGGCACGCCGACAGTTCTGCGGATCTCCACGTGGTCCCGCGATATCACCAATGGAGCGATTGTGGCTGCGTGCAACACAGTGAACGGCGAGGAGGAGGGGGCTAGTTACGACATCCCGTCCGTGTACAACGCCACCATCCTGAGCTGCAGCGACCCATGCGCCCTTGCGGCGTCGTGCTTCCCCGCGTACACGACGACGGTCTCGAGTGATGGCTGCGCCTGCAGGTGCGCGGAGGGCGGCCATGGCGATGCGTGTCTGCCCGTTGCTGTCCCCGAGCCACCGAGCACCGACGGCGCCGACTTGTGCGTGCGGGACGTGCGTGTGGATGGGGAGGTGAACGCCGGTCTCGGGACGTCGGTGGTGTGCTACGTTGGTGTGACCTTTGCGGCGGACGTCGTGGTGGACGTGGAGTCGATGTCAGGGAGCGTGCGCAACGTGACGCTGGTGAACTGCACGTTTTTGGACGGAGCAAGCCTGTACGTTGTTGGGTGGCGATCCGACCCGACTGCTGGCGAGCGCGCCGATGTGTTGATCAGCGGGCTTGAGTCGCGTTCCGGTGGCGGCGTGCTGGTGGCGAACCGATTTCCGCCGGGCTCGCGCGTCACCGTGGTGGACTCGGCGCTGATTGCGGAGGCGCGTGTTGCGTACCGCGACGCCTACGACCTTGGCGACGCCTCCGCGTGCCTCGTGGTGCACAGCGTGAATCTGACTGGGAGCGTGCTGACCATTGCGCGCACGCATGTGGCGGCTGTGTTCCGCGACGCTGTTGGCGTGTTGGTTGTTGGCGGCGTGGCGCTGTCGTCGCGCGGTGCGCTGTACGTGGACGGGCTGTCGGTGCAGACGGCGCTGGGGCTGTGTGTGTCGGTGGAGGGCGGTGTTGCGGCGAGTGGCGGCTCCGTGGTGGCGTTTGTTGACAGCGACTTCCTGCTGTGCAAGCACGCGGTGTCTGTGCGTGGGGCTGTGAGCGTGTCGGGCTCCGCTGTGGCGCTTGTGCGAAGTGACTTTGCGTCGACGGGGGACTACGCGGTGGCGTTTTATTCGACGGTGAGCCTGGATGGCGGGTCAATGCTTCTGGCGAAGGGCAACGTGCACGACGGTGTCTCGAGGGAGATGCTCTACGCCGCTGGCGCTGTGACCGCTGCTGGGAGCACGCTGAGCTTTGTGCGCAACCGGCGCTGCTGCCGC